AATATGGTTTTGTCAGGAATCCAAGATTCCACCATGCTTCAACATTGTGAACACAAATAGATATGTATTTCCAATCTCGGTCGGAATCATTACTTCTATCCACAAAATGTTTATACTATAATCAATGGAAATCAGACATACGTTTTGAAGACTATTCAGCAAAAATCGACGTAAAGAAGTTTTGTATAGCTCTCTCTTGTTTTATTACTACAGAAAAGAATTTATAAATGACTTCTATCTACTCATGTAAACTCTAAATGTACTACAGGCCTGTGGCCTTTTTAAGAACTGAAATAAAGATTGATTGATTGATTGATTGAACACAAATTATTCCAACAAACATTTCAATAATAAATTTTGATAAACGATATCTGTCTGAATAGACAATGACATGTGCATGGAAACGTGAGTATACATGACTGACTGACAGAGTTTGGTTTTATGCCGCTTTTAGCAATATAGCAGCAATATCCGGCAGGGGACACCAGAAACCACTACCCATGTGGGGATTTGAACCCTGGTTTTCGGTGTGCGAAATAGCACGCTTTAACCACTAGACTTCCCCACCGCCCCATTGTATATATGATATATGCCCAACTGCTCATGGAAGAGGTTACACTCACTTGTACGACAAACTCTGCAGATTGTCAGACAGGTGGTGCCAGTCCTGATGTTCCCCAGGGTGTAGTCGACGTTGAAGATGCTGCATCAGATGGGGGTTCCATACAACATGCCACGGTTGATCAACCAGTACAGACTCCACTGAAGTTACAGAAACACAAACGACTGTACACTACTGTCACATTAAGATGATTATAGTGTTGACAACATAAATGATTATGTTATTCTGATGACAATGACGTTCATGTTGACCGGCTTATGAAGTCAAGGCACAATGATGTTAATTATTAGCCTGGTCAAGCATTTATATCAATTTCTCAGCTCCCTGAGGAGGATACAGATGATGATGTTTCTGGGCACTAGAAGATTATGCATATCATATATCCTTCCATGTACCCATTCAGTGATGGCTGAATAAGGGACCGTTCACAATTTATGGCTAGGGGTGGTTGGGATGATTCTTAAGGAGAAGCATGCACAAGGTGAATGTACAAAATTGCTGATCCCCCTTGCTCCGATACAAAATTGGTGACCCCCTAGCTCCTGATAACAAAATGGGTGACCCCCTCCCAAAAATCATCATAGCTCGCGCGCAAAATAGGTGCCATGCCTTATAATCATCACACACACAGCCATAAATTATGAACGGTCCCTAAAGGCAAGTTTTTCAAACATAGTCACTCGACAAAGGAAACAAGTTTTGTAACCTGTGTTTCAGTTTTGGGCAGGACTGAAGCTCAAGAAAAATCCAATCAACTGGAGGAGGTAAATGTTGGGAAAATATTTCCTGATTTTTTATATCATTAAGCCAGATGATAATGTGCTGTTTTGTTAAAGAGTGATTAACAGAAATGTTTTCTGAATGTCCCAAAGACACCCTAACCATTAAAATCTGATAAAGGTACACATCTTGCAGATTAATACTATGACCATCTAGCATTAAGCAATATGTGCCTTACATAGAAAACTTAGAAAAGAAAACCATAATTATGTGAAAACATTTAAAATTGTTATATTCAAAATTATTTCATATACAACTAACGTTCTTGGCTCTTTCACAGTATTTGTTAAAAATTTAATAAAATTAATTACAATCTGTTAAATTTTACTGACATTGTTTCAGAAAATATTGGTCTCTGAAAGGATAGCGGAAAACTTCTTCATCACAAAACACTGTAAAGACTTACAACACAGGGTGACATAATTAGAAGTGTGCTGTTTTCAAATTATCATGGAAAGTTTGTGAAGTTACAAGAACATCTAAATTGTAATTTTCGAGAAGGAATCAACAGTAAACTGGGAAAGTATTATAGATGACATACCTAGTCATCACCAGCTATCTCCATGAAATCAATATTAATTACAACCAAATTCTAGAAGTGACATTCCTAATGCAACTCATTTGTCTGACATAATTGACCATTTCCGTTGTTGTTCACTGGCAGATAGGACACACGTGATGACAGAGAGAGAGTTGTTCTTTGCTGATAACTAGGGATCACCCTACTGCATCTTTAATACATTATCCAAACACTCAGTTGATACACATGTACAAGTCATAAATACAACCATAAAACATCATATCCAACAACCACAGAACATGGTATACCACAAAGATAGAACACGCATATGGCATACCACAACCACTGAACATCATATACCATGACCATAGAACATCATATACCATGACCATAGAACATATACCATGACCATAGAACATCATATACCACAACCACATGACATCATATACCACAACAATAGAACATAACATCATATACCACAACAATAGAACATAACATAATATACCACAACCATAGAACATCATATACCACAACAATAGAACATCATAGAACATCATATACCATGACCATAGAACATCATATACCATGACCATAGAACATATACCATGACCATAGAACATCATATACCACAACCACATGACATCATATACCACAACAATAGAACATAACATCATATACCACAACCAAAGAACATCATATACCATGACCATAGAACATCATATACCATGACCATAGAACATATACCATGACCATAGAACATCATATACCACAACCACATGACATCATATACCACAACAATAGAACATAACATCATATACCACAACCAAAGAACATCATATACCATGACCATAGAACATCATATACCATGACCATAGAACATCATAGAACATGACCATAGAACATCATAGAACATCATATACCACAACCACAGGACATCATATACCACAACAATAGAACATAACATCATATACCACGACCATAGAACATCATATACCATGACCATAGAACATCATAGAACATCATATACCACAACAATAGAACATGACATCATATACCACAACCCCAGGACATCATATACCACAACCATAGAACATCATATACCACAACCACAGGACATCATATACCACAACAATAGAACATCATATACCATGACCATAGAACATCATATACCATGACCATAGAACATCATAGAACATCATATACCACAACCACAGGACATCATATGACACAACAATAGAACATCATATACCATGACCATAGAACATCATATACCACGACTATAGAACATCATATACCACGACCATAGAACATCATATACCATGACCATAGAACATCATAGAACATCATATACCACAACCACAGGACATCATATACCACAACAATAGAACATCATATACCATGACCATAGAACATCATATACCACGACTATAGAACATCATATACCATGACCATAGAACATCATATACCATGACCATAGAACATCATAGAACATCATAGAACACAACCACAGGACATCATATACCACAACAATAGAACATCATATACCATGACCATAGAACATCATATACCACGACTATAGAACATCATATACCACGACCATAGAACATCATAGAACATGACAATATAACATCACAGAATATCATATACCACAATAATTGAACATCACAGGACATCACATACCACGACCATAGAATATCATATACCACGACCATAGGACATTATAGGACATCATATACAACCTGTGAATATTGAATACCACAACATTTAAAAACATTTTGAACAAATTTCAATACCCTACTTTAATCAGAAGATGACATATCCCCCCGGCCCCCACATATTTGAAAGAACAAATCATCTGACAGTTATTTAAAGTCCAGCTTGACTTTTTTTTAAAACTAAATCCAAATCATTTCCATGGAAATCATGAGAAATATAAATGCCAAAAATCTGTAAATAGCAAAAGGCACCATTTCAAAATTTGTCTAATATATCTGCCAATGTCTGTTGAAAGATACTGAATGCTTTTCAAGTTGTGCACTGGAAATGAAGCCCACCCCTCCCTTTTGGGACTAAGTCCTAATCGTTTCCATGGAAACGGGACAAATAAATATGCCAAAATTCTGTAAAGAGCAAAAGGCACCACTTTGGGATATGCCTAACATATCTGCCAAATTTTGCTGAAAGATATTAAGAAGTTTTCGCGTTGTACTCCGGAAATGAAACTCACCCCTCCCTTTTGAGACTAAGTCCAAATTGTTTCCATGGAAACCGAGAAAAATAAAATGACAAAAAAATGTAAATAGCAAAAGACACCACCTTAGGTTCTGTTTGATATATCTACAAATTTTTGTTGAAAAATAGTGAACGGTTTTTGAGATATGCTCTGGAAACAAAATGATTATGGAAGGAAGGAAGGACGGACGGACAGACAGACAGACAGACGAGGCGTCGACTATATCCCCCTGCATTACATGCCAGGGGGATAAAAAGAGAACAATACTTTGAGATTGTCGTACACTTATTGGGCATCAGTATATGAAACACCAAGCTATATATAATCAACCTCCTCATTTGTAAGTACTACACTGTATATGTTTCAGTGTAATTGTGATGAATGTAACTAACTACAAGAGACTACTGGCAAACTACCTTCAGACTACCAACACTTTAGGAAAACAGTAGCAAGTGAGGAACTGTGCCACGGTAGAGGAACAACCCATAATAACGAACGATCTGAACTTTCCACATTGGGAAACTGTCACGTCGGACCCTCTCATCTCGAGACTTGTTATTCCATTGTCACTAGACCTGACAGGACTTTCTAGTTGGATCAGTCAATCAATTTGTACTACAATGAGTGACAAAATGGCCCACACACCTTCTATCTGTCCCTTGCACAGGGCATGGAGAGCGTTTCTATACTGCAAGCTGATTGGCTGTTCAGAAAGCTGCTTGAGACATTGAGCCAACATTCCTGGCAGCGCTCTCATGTAGTTCCCCAGTGCCAATCCATGTCTCCCCTTCATAGATGGCAGCTCTCTCATGTCTATCTGCAGATGTCCCATGAGCCTTTGAAGCCATGTTGATGCCGTCTGCCAGCCTCTCTCTGGCAGGAGTGACATGTACAACTCTGCTGCCCCTCTCAACTTGGTTGTCAGTTTTGTTATGATAGAGCTGTCGATGTCTTCAGTTCTGAAACAGCGCAATGTTCCCCAATTATACTAAGACCCGAGAGGAGATTTGCATTCAGTGGTTCCACACTGTCCGAGAAGCCATTCATTCTTGACATTTACAACAATGAGCTATTTGAAGAACAACTTATTTGAAAACATGAAAGAACTGGTCACACTTTGTTCAAAAACAGCATGTCACAGCATAATACCACACTTTTTGCATTAAGCACTGTGCTCAAATTATCATTCCCTGGCTTTAGACCATTCTTTATGTAATCTTCATGAACACCTGTACTAAGGCCAACATATGAGAGTCATATTCTTGTGAATATTACACATACTGCACAGAAACAGAAGAATATAATTGCCTTGTAACCTGAAAAGTTTCAGTATTTTTCTTTATCGCTTGATCTTAGACAACAAATCTAACTTGATCAGTATAATTGTACAAGCAACCCAATTTGGTATTTTCCAAAAAACATAGTGTTGCAGATACTGAGCATATTTGTTATCAAACCAATCAATGTTCTAATTTGTGTGAAAACAGCCTTTCTATGCTGTTATTCTTGTTGTATCCCCTCTAAAAGATTATTTTCAATCGAAGTAAGCAACATCATTCTTTTCATGCAATATTTACAGTCAGTTCAAAAAACTTTTATAGCTAGTTGACATAAATGGTGTAATGGCAAAGCAATGGCCGACTTCAATTTTGGTGGAAGCCGCAGGTGGCTGAGTGGGTTAGACGGCCGACTTTGTGTGCTGGCAATTAGGTGCCTGACTTTGAGGGTGTGGATTTGAATCCCAGATGGGGCTCAACCCAACAAAAGTACTAGAATCTGTACTTTACTGAGAAAGCGTGATCCAAAATATAATTTGTGTTACATTTGACCACTTTCTAAATGGCACTGTGTATTCAAAGCAACATTTACACTGAGAGATACATAATCTTCTAAAACATAAACAACATCATCGCTTAAATTTTGTGATTAAATGTAATCATCTAAGATATAATGACATTAAACCAGAACTCACATGGTCCAGCCTGACTTGATCCATCCAACAAGGTACACGAGGGACCCTGCTGGGTTCTGTACATTAGCCAGGGTCGTGTTCTGCCCATAGTCCTGTGTTCCACAGAGAGACAAGGGCCATAGCCCAAGCCGCAATCATCAACTTGTCCAGTGACACAATTTTCCTGAAAAGTCTTGATGCGTTCTGTCAGTATCTCCTTGGCAGCCTAGAAAATTTAACAATTTGTAAAAAGTATTGTTAAACCAATCTAAGCAAGTCTGACGTCACATGGTTTTAATATGTTTTGAAATTACTTAATAATTATTGGATCTTATATTTCATCTGAGACGTACATATGTCCAGGCGTTTGTAATTCAAATCATTTTGTAAATTGATCATTTGGATTGAAGAGGATACTTTTATCAATAGTCGGATGGGTTGTACACAAGTAGGGAATAGAACCCAGTTGCCGCATGTTGAATACAGTTTTCACCACAAATATCTAATGACTGCCACTTCCAAACTGAACTACCTGAGAGGATTTGGGTTAAAATCGGTTCTGAGAAACCCATGCTAGTTGAAAGAAAAATAGGATCGGGTGGTCAGGCTCACTGATCTGGGTGTAATTGTACCCCAATTATGTAGATCGATGCTCATGATGTCAATCACTGGATTGTCTGGTCCAGATTTGATTATTTATAGACGGCCATCATATAGCTGGATATATTGCTGAGAGCAGCATTTGACAACAAACATAACCAAACAAATCTGAACTGAACCCACCTGTTTGGACAATGATGTCTTGTGACTCCTTACATACACATCATTGGCTGCATGGTAAAGTGCCTTGTCACACAAGACACCTCGATCTACCTGCTGTACCACCATGGCAGACACACATAGCAAGTCCATTAGCATTGGCTGGTCAGGGCGAGGCAGCCTCTCTTTCATTGTGGTGTGGAGATCAATCAGCCAATCACACAAGACCTTGTCATTCAGGCCCAAACCTTTCATCATCCTCTTTGTGTCATACGTTGAATATGGGCAGCCATCATCCTGTGGTGGAAGATATACCAGTTTGATATACTGCAGTATAACATGTGAAGGTTCCTGTGGCACAGCGGGTAGTGCACTGTAGAACCTACTCCCAGTTGGGTTTTGTGCTGGAAGTCATGTATTCTTGGATCCATTCATCCCAGAGTGACATCAAGTCACTACCATCAACACTATTCAGATGTAGATGGATATTCAATATGTTTGCTATAGGTCCTGTAGCTCACCGGACAAAATCGTATCAATATGAGTAGTGTTGGTCCTATTGAAAGACAATTTAGTCAGGATATTTTGTCAAACAGACCGTAATTGTAGAAACTACTTAGAACAAAAAACACCAATGCACTGGTTTTACAATTTTTCACAAAAGTAAGCTGTCCTGAAAATAGATGTGTTAGGGAGAAAAGAGCTGAAGAGATACTAACAATCCAAAATGAATATTTCAAAGTCAGTCACAAAGTATCAGATTCTTTAAGTTCTGGGCTAGCAAAACCAATGGTCAAGGGCATGAGCATAAACCCTGTAGTATGAGTGAGTGAGTGAGTAGCTAAACACTGCCATGCATCTATTCGTGGCTGCTAGGTTACGATGACTTCACAATCAGATAAATGATCCATTGATTCCATATTACTGAACTCCAACTAGAAACACTGACGATCAAAAGATCTCTTCAGCCATGGAATAGCCTGAGAGGGTGTAATGAGGTCGTGTAGTACATTATTGTAAACACTGTGTATGTAACATCACAAATCAACATTTGTTGTCTGGATCAATTATGTAACACTGTTTCTAGTTTCCATAGAAGGCTACAATAACTACACACATTGGTTACACGTGACCTGGAAAACATCTCCCCATTGAATGGCCTATTAATCAGCTAGACATGATAGAGATATGATATGTTTGATGTCAAAATACAGGAGGGTGAGAATCTATTTATCATTGAGATTCATTCCTCAAGCTGTAGTAACCAGTGTCTTGAGTGTAGAAGCAAAACAACTAGTTTTCTGTAGCAGAGAAATACATGATGTCATTTCATTGTCATGTCATTGTAACCAATGATGTCACAATGATCTGCAAGAACTGTGAGAGAAATTCACGGAACATTATCTCCTAGGAGATATCACTTATCTCACACAAGCAAGAGCTCCAGTGGAAGCCAGTGCTGGGTGATAAAATACACACTTGGCTGAAATATGAGGAAATGAAGAGCTTCTTTCACAATAAGACCAACAAGGTGACCAGATAATCACAAGCTAATACTGTATAAACCTCGTAACTAGTCAATGAAATGAAATTAATTACTGTTACATATTGTCTAAAACAGTGCAATGATGACTAGATATCTCAGATTTCATAATCTGCCCATCTACTCAATTATTCCTGAATCAGTGCCAGCAGCAGAGCAGAATACAAAACATGGATGACGTGACAAATTTCCACTAACCCAAACCGGCACTTCATCCCTTGTTACTAAAATATCATATTTTCCATCCATCTTCTAAAAGCCCAACTCATCCATTAACTCATCCTGACACTAAACCCATGTACTATCCCAAGTTAAAAACATGTAACCGTGATGTGGGCATTGTTGTCTAGCAACAGCATGATCTCCATCAACACTCGAGGAGCTTGCAAAGAATTAGAACCATCAGAGACCTAAGCAGTTCTCGTCCAAGCAGCCATAGTCTTACATAATCCGATGGACAATCATATCAGTATATGTGCTCCACTAACCCCACAGCAGACAAGGTAATGGCTCCCTAACATCAGCCAATCACAGGGCCCCGCCATAATTCCCCGCTGAACACATCAACTCCTCAAATTAATCAAGCAAGTAACAAGGCTCGTTAGATGTCGTATTATCAAATCAAGCACAGTGTTGAGGTAGAAGTCAATCTGTGAGGGTCAAACCTATGCATTTCTTGCCACCCTGCGTTCCTACAGATATGATCAAAGGGTAGAAAACCAACGCATCTTAAGCAGTCCGGCACATGCCATGATTGTGTAATTACAGAACCAGGTTTCACAAACTTATTTTTTCAAATTGCCATTACATTTCTGGATGAACGAAGATGGAACCAGTATTCATTGAAAACGCAAATTCTTGTTTTTGAATATGCAATGGCTGTTCTGAAATGTACTGGAACTTGTACAACCTTCAACGTGAGACAGCTGAAGCGGGAGCTGCTATGTGAGTATTGTACTGACATGGATGCCATACCAGCTGATACAGCTTGAGATACCCTAGAGTTTACTGTATCATTGTGCTCAAGTCAACAGGAGTTACACATCCATGCTCTCGTTCAGCCAAGTGGCATAGGTGAGTGCCCCATATTCAAACAGTTTTTCATCTTTTTAAGTGATAGTTTGTATCAAAATTATCCCTGTCAATTACAAATTTCAAAATTCACACAACTTTTCTTGTACTGCATTACTTCATTGTGGAAAACTAAGTCGAAGCTATATACAATGTTTCTTTTGAATCCAAGCAACCTCATCCCCTTGCTTTAAAATTGCAACACGATATTTTCAGCACATCTTAAATATCTTCGATTAAATATGAAAGTTTTTAATATTTGGACACAATAATCCTGTCTTTCATCATTGAAAATCCAAATTTATGCATATAATCTTTTGGGCGTTTGAGAATCAGCTGATTTAAATCCAGTGTTTTGTGATATTGATACTTATGATCAACTTGTTTGATCATCCTACTCTTCAAAGTCACATGACCACTTCAAAGCTGGGTCTCGTATCAATAGAGAGCTTTATGAAAGAAAAAGAATTTTCTGTCTTTTGAATTAAAGTATTAGCTAAGTTGTTCCTAAATCCCCAAGATAAATTCTTCCTCAGCTCACAATTCATCACTTCATCGTTTAAACTAAACTGCCTGATGTCCACCAACAAATTGATTTCTGTCTTCATAATTCTAGTGCACACGGTCAAGGCACTAAGAGGAAATAGATTTCTTATGCCAGAAACATTCAGAAACTTTTAAGTATAATCATAAATATTCATGGTAAAAGCAATTTGATCTTTGATTTAAAACAAAATGCAGGATATCTTACAGAAGGTTATCAGGTTCCAATAATTAGAGTTAAATATTAAACAGAATCCATTAAACCTTCAAACCTGTTCTAGTGAAACACCATTAAACCAATTCAAGTTTAACATTGAACCAGTTCCAAAGCAAGGCTCACTAACTTCAGCTGTACAACAATTAACAATGATTATTCTTGAGAAAAGTACAAGATCTGTATCAAACTTTGTTCTGTATGTTTCCTATTAACAAAGAAGCCATTACTAAAATCTGAAAATAATCCATTAAATGATTGAAAATTATTGGTTGAACACATCTGACATGTATTTTCCTCGCCTGTATTCAAGAGTGAGTGAATGAGTTTAGTTTTACACCGCTTTTAGCAATATTCCAGCAATATCATGACAGAAGACATCAGAAATGGGCTTCACACATTGTACCCATGTGGGGAATTGAACCCGGGCCTTCGGTGTGACGAGCGAACGCTCTAACCACTTGGCTACCCCACCCCACCCCTGTGTTCAAGAGATGTAATGTGTGATAATTCTATATAAATTAAAGTATATCAAAATAGAAATTTGCACTTCACCTCTCCTATAGATATGGAGGGTGATCCCCAAATCTTTTTAAGTCACATTGAATCAATTTCTGATAATCATAAAACCAATTCTATATAAATATTGAACCGATTCCAGATATACATGCAACCAATTCCAGTCATAAAGCCAAATCCAGATAAACAATGAACCAATTCAGATGAATATTTAACCAATGTCAGATAAACATTGAACCAATTACAGTAAAACATATAAATAATACAAATTAAACATTATCATACAATTTACAGCAAAACATTAAACATACTACTTAAACATTATGAGTCATTAAACAATTTACCATTGCACATTAAACCATTTACATTTGAAACTGAAATCATTTACAGTGTAACAAAACAAAAATGGGTTAACATTATTACACATAGATCAGTAAGTTTAAAGTTTCACATAATTTTTTTGGATAATAATTCTTTATTCTTCCAATGCCATTTGGTACAGGTGCTTGTACCTTTATCAAGACAGCGATGCCCAGTGAAACTTGCTTGGCAAAGGTACAAGCACCTGTAATGAAACACTGCACCAAACAAATATAACAAGAAGACAAAGTCATCAATATCCCCCGCAATGGCAAAATACTCTTTATGATTATGTCTACGAGGTATGATTATGTCAAATATTTAGGTGTGTGTATATAGAAAAGTGGAAGGAGAGTATTGAAAGGTTTTGAAAGTTCTGCTCCAGAAAGGAGCACTATCACCAATTTCAGTCTAAGTCAAACTTGTTGCCATGGAAATGACAAAAATATTTTATTCAGAATTCCAAAACTACCAAAAGGCACCAGTACACCACCAGATCTATCTATGTGCCAAGTTTGGTGAAGAAATAGTGAATGGTTTTAGAGTTCTGCTCCGGAAAAGAGCACAACCACCAATTTCAGTCTAAGTCAAACTTGTTGCCATGGAAACGCCAAAAATATTTTATTCAGAATTCCAAAACTACCAAAAGGCACAAGTACACCACCAGATCTATCTCTGTGCCAAGTTTGGAGATGAAATAGTGAAAGGTTTTAGAGTTCTGTTCCGGAAAAGAGCACTACCACCAATTTCAGTCAAAGTCGAACTTGTTGCCATGGAAATGCCAAAAATATTTAATTCAGAATTCCAATACTACCAAAAGGCACCAGTACACCACCAGATCCATGTATGTGCCAAGTTTGGTGAAGAAATATTGAACGGTTTTAGAGTTCTGCTCCGGAAAAGACAAATGTGCACGGACGGACGGACGGACGGACGCACGGACGGAGTCCATTTTAATACCCCCCGCAAAACGTGTTGAGGGGGATAAAAATCAGTGTCGGTGACTCTCATCATTGACACTGCAGTTTCCAAAAGCCACTTAAAGGTACTCTAGCATCATAGAGTAGATCATTTGTACCTGGACAGGACTGATCTTAAGGTGAGCTTTTGTACCTTAACGAGGCCATTGTGTACGAGATCTTCCATATGAACAGGTATCAACTAATAGCACTCTGTGAACATTGAATAGTGTGTAACAATGCTCATATCTGAGAGAAGTCCATCTGATGGCACCTGATGACAATCACACCTGAATCCAGGACAGTCAGACCAAAGAGTCACACTCACCTCTCCCGGAATGTATATCTCAACACCACGGTTTCTCATTGCCCGAGAAATTTCACCAAACTTTGGATCCATGGCCAGAAATAGCCTGCAAGTTAATGACACTTGTTTGATAACATTATAAACTAATCGACTTACTAAATTGATATTTCATTAGCATTCAACCAAATAAATACAGAAAGGACAGTACTAACACATCATATTATAAAATACAATGAAACAAAAGTAGCAAAAATGCAAAAAAGTGTTTTTGTATTACCAGTGGGGTAGCAACCACTCTCATCACGCTGAAGACCAGGGTTTGATTCCCCACATGGGTACAATGTGTGAAGCCCATTTTCCTCCGCCTTGATATTGCTAGAATATTGCTAAAAGCGGCGTAAAACCATACTCACTCACTCACTCATTTCTGGATCAACATTGTTGTTTACCTGAAGTTAGCATGCGGCTTGATTGCTGGGATCTGTCCGTCAATGACACCTCTCTCATTGATGCTCAGGACACCTTCCGGCTCCAGTAGGGCGTTCAGACGATCCAGCACAGACGGGCTGAACAGAAAACATAGCCTTGACTAAGGAAGTTTATGAAATTAAATATACTACTCATAAGAAGTTAAAGTACCCAAGACAGAAGTTGAAGAACACCCCATAGAAACATAATGATTATATCATACCTATTGGGGAATAACACAGGTTTCACAGCATAACTTAGACTACTCCACTGCACCCATTTCAAGAAAGAAAATACCTGTATTGTCAAGTATTTGTTAGATATGATAATGTTGATTACTAGGGAATTACCTGCAGAAGTTCACATTGTCAATGAGGAGCCAGTCTCCATTCTGTAGAGCCTTCACCAGCAGACTGTCCACCCACTCGAACGTGCCGCCACTGCCGGCGTTGCTCATCCTCTCACTCTCCACCACCCCGCGGAGGTGGTCGACCCGTGACTGGAGCTCCTCTAGACCACCTGCACATATGAAGGATACACAGTGTCCAGACTATAACAGTTGTGAATAGTGTCCATTTTATAACACTAGTGGGTAGCACCCATGTCATAAAACAAATGGATATTGTCCAGGCTATAACACTAGTGGATAGTGCCCATGTTATAACAATAGTGGATATTGCCCAGGTTATAAGACCAGTGGATAGAGCATATTTTATAACACTGGAGGATAGTGACCATGCTATAACAATAGTGGATATTGCCCAGGTTATAAGACCAGTGGATAGAGCATATTTTATAACACTGGTGGATAGTGACCATGCTATAACAATAGTGGATATTGCCCAGGTTATAAGAACAGTGGATAGAGCATATTTTATAACACTGGTGGATAGTGCCCATGTTATAACAATAGTGGATATTGCCCAGGTTATAAGACCAGTGGATAGAGCATATGTTATAACACTGGTGGATAGTGACCATGCTATAACAACAGTGGATATTGCCCAGGTTATAAGAACAGTGGATAGAGCATATTTTATAACACTGGTGGATAGTGCCCATGCTATAACAATAGTGGATATTGCCCAGGTTATAAGAACAGTGGATAGAGCATATTTTATAACACTGGTGGATAGTGACCATGCTATAACAATAGTGGATATTGCCCAGGTTATAAGAACAGTGGATAGAGCATATTTTATAACACTGGTGACTTCTTTATTACACTAGTGGATAGTGTCCAGGAAAACACATGTGATAGTACCCTGGTTGTAACACTGGTGGATAGTGTTCAGGAAAACACATGTGATAGTACCCTGGTTGTAACACTAGATGATAGTGTCCAGGAAAACACATGTGATAGTACCCTGGTTGTAACACTAGATGATAGTGTCCAGGAAAACACATGTGATAGTACCCTGGTTGTAACACTAGATGATAGTGTCCAGGAAAACACATGTGACAGTACCCTGGTTGTAACACTAGTGGATAGTGTCCAGGTTATAAGACCAATGGATAGAGCATATTTTACAACACTGGTGACTTCTTTATTACACTAGTGGATAGTGTTCAGGAAAACACATGTGATAGTACCCTGGTTGTAACACTGGTGGATAGTGTTCAGGAAAACACATGTGATAGTACCCTGGTTGTAACACTAGTGGATAGTGTCCAGGAAAACACATGTGATAGTACCCTGGTTGTAACACTGGTGGATAGTGTTCAGGAAAACACATGTGATAGTACCCTGGTTGTAACACTAGTGGATAGTGTTCAGGAAAACACATGTGATAGTACCCTGGTTGTAACACTAGTGGATAGTGTCCAGGAAAACACATGTGATAGTACCCTGGTTGTAACACTAGTGGATAGTGTTCAGGAAAACACATGTTATAGTACCCTGGTTGTAACACTAGTAGATAGTGTCCAGGAAAACACATGTGATAGTACCCTGGTTGTAACACTAGTAGATAGTGTCCAGGAAAACACATGTGATAGTACCCTGGTTGTAACATTAGTGGATAGTGGCCAGGTTATAACACAAGTGGGTAGTGTCAAGGTACAGCATTAGTGGATAGTGACCCAGGTTATAACACAAGTGGGGAGTGTCAAGGGGCAATAACACTAGTGATGGTACCCAGAATATAACACTAGTGATGGTACCCAGCATATAACACTAGTGATGGTACCCAGCATATAACACTAGTGATGGTACCCAGCATATAACACTAGTGATGGTACCCAGCATATAACACTAGTGATGGTACCCAGCATATAACACTAACGGACAGAATAAAAAACATTACTTAGAACAACAAGATAAACAAGTCAATTTTCAAAGTCAAAGTAACGATTTACCAAGTGTCATGATGACCTCCCCAACATCCAAGCATTAATCTGAAGACATGGCTGAGTGAATTGGTGAAACTTTGGCTGACTCCACAGTTAAACCTTTAAATCTTGCAGTGATTCCCAGATTTAACCGTCTGACAGACTAAAGCTCCAAACCAACTCCCACAAAGGAACACAATCAGACATTCAGGCTGGGGACAGATTCCTGTCAAGTCTACTTTCTTTAACATCTGCAAAATACCGGGTTTGAAAATGTAAAAGTTTGATGTCATGTCGAGGAGTTCTCCAAAAGTCATAATGCTGGGGAGTAATATACCCGGGACCCACCTTGCATCAGTTTGTTCTGGTCGTGTATCTTGTGAAGTAGCATCAACACTGAGCAGATGGCCTTCACCTTGGTCTTCAAACACTCATATTCTTCAACAGTGGAAACCACATGACCTGAACCTGAATAGGAGAGAAGGAAAGTCACAATACTGAAAGTCATTTCGCCAAGTTGCTATAGATTCAAAATAATAAATAACACTTTTATGATGATAAGCTTCCTGAATATTAACATATTTACTGAAGGAAGTCTCCTTATAATTCTCAATGAACACCCAGTCCATTCATCTTACTAATAAACTGTAGTACCAAGAAAACCATAAGATCCATGATGCTATATTCCTGAAAGAAATTGATTGCTCAAGTGATGAAATTAATCTCTTGTTATATAACTGGTTTCTGGTTGTTTACACTCTTCATAGTCTTGGGATGCATTAAGTCAATTCAAGATGATCTATGTTTAGATGGCATATAGGGGTGGTGGGGTAGCCTTGTGGTTAAGGTGTTTGCTTAGCATGCCGAAGACCCAGGTTCTATTGCCCACATTGGCAGAATATGTGCAGCCCATTTCTGGTGTCCCCAACCGTGATATTGCTGGAATATTGCTAAAGGCGGCATGAAACTAAACTCACTCACTCACTCACTCACTGAGATTACATATGTACTGGATTTTCCTACTTTTGTAAAGACAAATACCTATCTGACTTTCTGGAAGTTATATTTTATGATGTGACCTTATTATAATGGGACAGTCTTGTGGTTAACATTTGCCTCTTATGCTGAAGGTCCAGGTTTGACCCCATCTGGACCATACAAACCTGTGATTGATATCAACTGCAATCATCTACACCCCTGAGGTATAATAACAAACAATCAACTCAGTGAGCAATATTCCCCACCTTATTTCATCATCTTGTCTGACAAACAATGGTTGCTTGGGATAAATTTTAACCAATAATCCCTGCGATTCAGTCCTACCACCCATGTACATAGTGCTACGACTGTCTTCAGATTATTATAGATATGTGAGTCACGATCACCTTACGTCTGACATTGCTTTGTAGGGTTTGTTTGCCTGACATTGCTATTCCACCAATATGGTGGTGTAACCCAGGGTTTGTTTGTTGTTAAATACCACACTCCAGCAATATTCCATGTGGTCCACAGCGGCATGTTGGTCCTGTCAGTGTTATCCTGTCAGTGTTATACATCTAGTGATGGCAGGATTGATCTGTACAGTCAGAGCCCATCCTTGTCTCTGTGATCGTACACTGGAACCTGCAGGTCTGTTTACTTCCCACGGGTAAACGCCATCATATCACACAGGATGTGAAGATCACAATATTGATTGTCACATGTGTTTTATTTGTGTCTCTCACATGATGAAAGACAATTTTGGAAAAAATAATACATTTACTTAGTGTATAACAATTTCATGACTCATCTATTTTAGTATTAACATATCATCCATGACCCATCCACAAACAAACAGAAGGTGGGGTCAAATTATGGGAGTGAGCAGGGTTTTTTGCTTTTTTTGTCTTTTAGGGGTGGAGGTGGAGCCTGAGGAGTGAGGAGAGTGAGAGTGAGAGAGGAGAGAGAGAGGAAAGTGAAAGTGAGGAAAGGAGAGAGGAATGAAAGTGAGAGAGTGAAAGTGGAGGGTGAGGAGGAGGAGTGAGGAGTGGAGAGGTGAGAGAGTGAGAAAGTGAGTGAGAGAGAGAAAGTGAGTGAGAGGTGAGAGAGGAGAGTGAAAGAGGAGGAAAGGAGGAGGAGAGAGAGAGAGTGAAAGTGAAAGTGATAGTGAGCATGAGAGAGTCCAAGGAGTGAAAGTGAGAGGAGTGAGAGTGAGAGAGAGAGAGTGAAAGGAGAGAGGAGAGGAAGAGGAAAGTGAAAGAGAGAGAGGAAAGAGGAAAGGAAAGAGAGGTGAAAGTGAGAGAGAAAGAGAGTGAGAGTGAGAGGAAAGTGAGGAGAGGAGTGAAAGAGAGGAGGAGAGGAGGAGTGAAAAAGGTGAAAGGAAAGGAGAGTGGAGGCGAGGAGGAAAGTGAGAGGAGTGAAAGAGTGAGAGTGAAAGTGACAGAGAGAGTGGAGGAGGAGAGAGAAAGGAGTGAAGAGTGAGGAAAGGAAAGGAGAGGAGAAAGTGAGGAGTGAGAGGAGGAAAAAGAGGAAAGGAAAGCAAGAGGAAGTGAGTGAGAGAGGAAAGGAAAGAGGAGTGAGGAGGAAAGTGAGAGAGAAAGGAAGAAAGGAAGTGAGGAAGTGAGTGAGAGAAAGAGAGGAGAGAGTGAAGGTGAGAGGAGACAGGAAAGGAGGAAAGTGAGAGAAAAGAAGGAGAGAGAGGAGTGGAAAGTGAGGAGGAAAGGAGTGAAAGGAAGAGGAGTGAAGGAGAGTGAAAGTGAGAGAGAGAGGAGGAGAGGAGTGAAAGTGAGGAGAGTGAGAGGAAAGGAAAGTGAGAGAGGAAAGAGAGGAGTGAAAGGAGAGAGAGGAGGAAGTGGAGAGAGAGAGTGAGGAAAGTGAAGAGTGAAAGGAAAGGAGTGAGGAAGAGAAAGTGATGAAAGGAGTGAGGAGGAAAGAGAGTGAGAGAAGTGAAAGGAGAGTGGAAAGCGGAGTGAAAGGAGGAGAGAGATGGAGAGGAAAGGAGAGGAGGAAGAGAGAGTGAAAGGAAAAGTGGAGTGAAAGAGTGGAAGAGGAAAGTGAAAGTGAGAAAGTGAGAGTGGAGAGAAAGGCACCAGTACACCACCAGATCTATCTATGTGCCAAGTTTGGTTAAGAAATATTGAACGGTTTTAGAGTTCTGTCTCGAAAAGATAAATGTGCACGGACAGACAGGACGACGGACGGACGGAGTCCATTTTAATACAAGTTTGGTTAAGAAATATTGAACTGTTTTAATACGCTGCACGGACAGACAGACGACGCACGTAGGATAAAAGCATGGGTTTGTTTGCAACCCTTAACGAGATTCAAATACATATCTGGAGACAATCAACATATGACAAAGTCTAATTTCCTCCAGCAAATTTTTATACTCTGTGACCTTTCTACTTTGTCAACTTCACCTGGAACAGATAGTGACACTGAGAGCTTTCTGCAGTAATTGGACCAGCTTTCATGCATCAAGCAGTTCAGATGAGATCAAGTAAAAAACTTAAACACTCTTCTGTCAAGAATGTCTTGCAAAGCGATGTCAACCACTCGCTACGAACCAAGCTGGGCCTGCAGTCAGCAAGTTCAATAACGGCTGTGTCAAATTATATCAGATTTTTATAAGTGAGTGAGTTTGTTACATTGTCATCAGTTAAAGCTGTAGATAATAACCAGAGTCCCCATCAAAAACAACATGGCTAGCTCAATACACTGTTAGGACCATCAAAAACAACATGGCCAGCTCAATACACTGTTAGTGCAGCTACAGCGGCAAACCTGCTGACACTGTCAAAAGTGAATCACCAACTCACTCACTCATTCATTCATTCATTCTCACTGGGTAGCAGGATAATCAAGCACTGACCATTGCCCAGATGAACAGAGAATCTCACCTGAGTGTCTTTTGATATCAAATATATCACAAGTTGACAAAGTTACACATATCAGAGGCTTGCCGGGGGTGAGATTATGTTTATCATCAAAAATTACTTTTCATTAGTTTTCAATGAAAAATGTACATCGCTGAACACGGTACTGCCATTAGACTTGCAGAGCAGCGATGTCATAGCATTGTGATGTCATCAAGTCAATGACATCATAGCATTGTAAGTCATGTAACTGATGACCTCAGGGCATTGTACAAAATCTACTGTCAAAACGATATCTCATTTGATTTCTCACAAGCAATATCAGTTTTGGCTAATAACATAATATGATCATATAAATGTCATCATCATCATCATCATCATCATCATCATCATTGGAATCATACATGACCATAAGTGTGGAGCAGAAATGCTTCCATTGATAAATGTATATAACTTGTATCTAGAAGTCAAAACAATATGTTTATCATTACCTTGTGTGATTAAGTTGGTGTAGACAGACCATTCACGATCCAACGTTTGTACTGTAGTAGAGGTCAGGGTCGTCTGTTGACACAACAGCTCCCTCTGTATATGTTTCACAAACCTCTTGACCTCAGTTCCGACTTCTTCCACATAGCGAAATATATCCGCCTAACAAAAGAAATGGCATTGGATGAAAACATACCAGTATATCAAAAGGATTTGATAAATCTAAAGTTTAATTCATACAATACAGCACTCTGGCACAAGAGCTCAGCCGTAGTAGTCAGCTGTTCAAAATGTCAACAGACATGGCATCTCAATGAAAGATACTGTAAAGAATGCTGTTATAATATTTCCTGCATAAAATATGAATGAAGGTATAAACAAGTATTGCACAAGGAACCAAACTTCCACAATGCTTGATGTATTACTGTATAAACTGATGCAATGTTAATGAACAACACTTTAATTCTATAATAAACTTATATGTTGAGACCCACTACTTACTACACATGACATAAACTTCAGCAAAACAGACCAAGAAAGGGTCAGATATAGCTATTTCAATATGGCCATGGAGGCCATATTGAAAATCAGATATGAATCCATGAATGGTTTTTAGGTGTCATCATTGAGTAGAACAAGCTTGCAAAGTTTCACTGACATTGGTACTGTGGTTTCTGAGGTTAATGATTGATGATTCACAATGACCTAGTATTTTCAATATGTCTGATCACAGCCATACCTGATCTGTGATGAAGATAACTTGAACTGGGAACAACATATGGTGACCCTGTTATGCAGAATGTTTCAGGCTTCTGGCATTTTAAGTTTGGGAAAACAAATTTATTGAATTTATATTTTTCTGATTTATTCATTCGTTAAAAGATACTTACTGGGGGTTCACTGAAAAATCAATTTTGATGCCTTGAAAAACTTGAACTCCTAGATAGTAAGAAACAGACAATTCCTGCCAATCCCTTCAGGAGGAGTTGAAAATGTTGAAAAGACTTATGACAGCAGCCTTGGGTTGGCATAGTCAAATGACCCTTCAGGACATATGATTATAAATTACTCCATTTTTTACCATTCATTGCTTTCTGTCTCCTGTACCATTTGAGATGTGTTTGCTACAGTTTCTGAATTAACCATGTGGGCCTATGTTGTGTAAGTTATGACAGAGTCCCTGATTTTCCAAAATGATACAATGAGAGTTGTATCTGAACCAGGGCTATGGAGTTACACAACACCAACACTACCTCCACTGAGCCACCTTGCCTTCCACTTAAACACCATACATTACTTGCTTTTCGGATAAATTGATCTCCCCGATCCCTGCATTTTGGCGTGCATTTAACAAACTTAATTTTGAGTTTGGCAGAGATGTGTTTGATAGTGTGGGGGCCTGATTAATTCTCTGTCCGCGCTCATCACACACTCGCTCTATCAGCGCTACCATCACACCATCATTACTCTCCCATGTTTGCTCTGGAGGATATCTGTCAAATTTAACCTGTATTACCAAAAGACTTATTCAACCTCTTTGTGACTCTGTCGATATAATCCTCCTATAATCTATCAGTCAAGCCTTCTGAGCTGAGGAATCAATTATTGGCAGTCACAATGTTGTATTGGATAGCGGAGTTCTGGTACCACTTCAATGTTGGAAACCAGAGACGTATCAAAGACATACCTCACTTGCCATGGTACACTCGGTTACATGGATATATACCACTCAAAAGAAACTAAGGAATACTTAGTATTTCACATTTCTACAGTTACTGTTTGATGCCCTGACAGATTAGTGAGTGAGTGAGTTTAATTACTTCCATCGCACTCGGCAATATTACAGCTATATGGCAGCAGTTTGAAAAATAATCGTGTCTGGACTCTACAATCCAGTGATCAACATCATGAGCATCGATCTGTGTAATAGGGATATGATAACATATGTCAACCAGGTCAGCGAGCCTGACCACCCGATCCCGTTAGTCGCATCTTACGACAAGCATGGGTTACTGAAGACAAATTCTAACTCGGGTCTTCGTGGGTCCTGACAGATTAACCATAGTAGGTAATATGAAAGAATCTGTGTCCCTTAAAGTCTTTTCAGTAATATAGAACTCCTCACAATCAACATGACAACTACTCATAGACGATGTTAGAAGTCATCCTCATCATTTGGTCGTCACACATTCATTGCAGAACTTCTGTAAAATTAAGATTTGCAGCTTTTATTTTGTTTTCAGATTAAATTTGGTATTTCAGAGAATCCCCATTTTTAACACAACCATTCCCTGAAGGCAGAATCATTCCATCTTGATATCTTTCATCTCCTGGATTGAAAATGAAAATATTCTTTCTTTACAAATAAACCAAACATTTTTGTATCATCCATTGTAAATAATATTAACAAAACCTATGAAATAGGAAATTGAAAAACAGTAAAAAGTAGTTTGAGACCAGTTACAAGGAAATTAGCTGAAATATTTGTCCTATTATTTTATCTTCAAAAGCCTCGAAGCAGCTGTGATGATTTATCCACACGGCCTCTCTTGACAAGGCAATCCTGCTACCATCAAGTAACAGAGCTAATGGAACGAGAACCCTAAAATAAAAATCAGTGTATCTCCTTAAAGAGCCAAATATCTCCACACAATACAAACTGACTGATTGTCTGCAGGAGACTGATCGGTTCCACTAGATGATACTAAGCGACAGAGGAGCCACAATCCTGTCTAGCACTGCAGTGTAGCCACTGACATTTCATCCTTGGCCAGATACCGCTATTGTGGAGACAAGTAAGAACACATCAATCGGAGAGATCCAATATTGATAAAAACTACTTCCCATGGAAGAGTGACGTCTCTGTGCTAAAGAGCTCATTTTCTCTAGATTTGACAAGATGTGGAGCTTACTCTATACTTTGTTTCAAAGGCTTGTTGTGTATTTAGTGTTTTTGTGAGGAAAAGGTTGACAGCTTTTGGCTTTAATCATCATGAATCTACCACAATATCAGGTGTTGATCTGAAACGATGAGTCTCAGGCAAAATAAGGAGCGCTTCAAAAGGACATGATCCATTAAACTTCACACTTAAAAGACAGCGACACTTTCATCACAAGCTTAAACACACAAGGTTTGTTCCTCAAACAAAGAGACATTAATGCTTTAAAAGCAAGGAATTAATATGTTACGAAGATACTGGCTACGTTCAACATGAGACATCATCAGCAGGAGGGATTTAATGATTGAACTGAGATCAAACCTTTAGTTACTATAAACCTTTAACTTCAAAATAAAATACAAGACCACAGAATTGAAAGTAGGTTAAATTTGTAAAGTAAGTGGTAAGGATAACAGAATGTTATCTGATAATCTCCACATCCATATTAAAGTTGTAAGTCCGGGGGCGACTGAAGTCATCATGAGAGGGGAAGTTCAATCACAAGAAGTATAGACACGGAATGCATTAAGATGTCATCTGTCACACTTTGTCTTCCGGAGGGAAATCTACCAGCTGCGAGCCCAGGCCAATCACACAATGGATCCATATAAGCTTAAAATCAACGTTCAAAATGAACTGCGTTTGCAGTGGCCCAGTGCTATTCACCCAACTACATAGTATTACCTAAACAATGCCACTTATCGAACTTACATGAAATATTGACAACTATCAATGAATTGTTCTGTATTTTCCACATCATCATGAAAGTGAACACCAAGATTAATGAAGACCGTCAAGAATACTGTCTGGAGGTGACTAGAATTTTAATCTTTCTTATATGAAGATACTGAGCTTCCAGTGCACACCAGCCTGATGCTGGTCATACAAGGCCCCAAAAAAGAACCTGGGCCTCTGTTATGTCTGTTAGATGCTAAGTCATCAAATGAGGTTGAATCGATCATTTGATGAAATGAACTATCCCTGTTACATTCACTTACAGCACGTAATGATTACTAACTTAAACTTCATTACATTTTCCTGAAATGTACCCTTTGCATTGCTGTTGAATTTAGGATTTAGTGAGGTACGGAGCCGCAAGAGTAGACAGAATAGACATGGATCTCTAACTGAGGCAGGCCTTAAATAGACGCTGGGTCAGTGACTTGCATCAAATTAATATCAAATTATCACCCTTGGTACTAAAAAAACCCTTAACAATTTACAATTTATTGATCATTTCAATATGGCCGAAGATGGCCAGCTTCAAATGTCCTCAGAAAGATGGTGACTGTTTGTCTTTTGTGAGATACAGTCAATCAATGGGCATTACTCATCCTGCTTGCCTTTTGAAACTGTTAATAGCCATCGCCAAGTAGGCTCTTTAGGATTTCTGTACCTCCCAGTGTCCCTAGCAGATCTAGAGACAGCAGACAACCCATGTGACATCTCTCACAGACAGGATTATTTCAATCTCCGTCTGCCCCATACAACCTTCACATCTTCAACAAAGGAGGACATAAAAGTAAAAGGACTCCACACTTGAAAGTCGCGTACATTTTGAAATGTTGCACAACAATACATAAAAGTAAGGCATAAAGGCTGTGAAGCATTGGCTGATGTTCTGGTGCTGCCGTTTTATTGTCAGCCATGTCGACTTCAGCTGAGCTCACCAGATAGGAAGACTCACACAGTTAATGTCTGGTTGTAAACTTCCATCTATAACCTGGCCAGATAGGGTCAAATACCATCACCCTAGGAACACAAGGAACACTTGGCTCATTCAGGGATTCTCATGATGCCTACTGCACAGATATATGAATATATATACATGATGGTGTGATACACGCTCACTCTTGTTGTGGCCCTAACTGCTCCTGATCACACAATATGAAATAAGGGGAAATACTAACATTGTTTGTGCTGCACTTATCTAGTTCATTACTGCAGTAAGGGGCACTCCATTCTGGTCTTCGTATATCAGTTATTAACTGAGGGTCACTACGACATAGACATGCTTCATCTTTTCAGCACTGCTCCAACAAAAATTAGATTTAGAGCTCTGAAGTATAGTAAAAAAGTACACAGTCTTACACAGTTGGACAATTCAAATATTCAAAAGTTTGCCCAAAATATTTCATTCTGTTTATAGAAAAGGAGATGCATGTCAATGTAGTTTGTCTAAATTATTCGTCAGGTCGATAGTATCCTATAAGCATCCATTTT